ACTTTAAAAACTAAATCACGTCTTTGTCTCGAAACAGTAAAAGTTTTGAATTAATTGATAAAACAGATACCTGTGCTAAACGCATACGTACTGTGCATTCATTACGATTGTTGTGTGCATTTATGGATGAGTTTTGGGTTGCAATCAATGAGTTTAGAGTGCAGTCACTCACAGCAGGCCATCGTATGGTGCGATTGGAGCCAATCTTTAGTGTTCATCACATTATGTTATGTAAAAAATTATCGCCAATCGTCTAACCATTATAAACGACTTCCTCGCGCTATAAAAATCCATACGCTATACATGGTCTGTGCCATAGCCATAGCCATAGCCATCTACCTGTGCGCTCTCACTCATGTGCTCCTCAACTCTTAAAGTGTGGGAAATTAGTTTTGAAAGAGATATGTATTGAAGAGAGAATGAGAACTACTGTATGGAAGAGATAATAATAAGTAAAGCAGAATAAAAGGGGAGAAAATGGTTGAGTGTTTTGAAGAGTCAAACATTAAGAGATGGATTGAGAGACGAACCGATTCTTTAAAGCTTTAGACGTTTTGTTAATTTAGTCTAATGTTTAGGCATGCGATTCGTGACTCCTGTGCAAAAGCTGCACGTCTTGGCTGCTGATGACTACTACACTTGTGATGTGCCCTCTGCTCCCTCTCCTACCTGTGCTGCTGTGCCTTTCGCTGTGCACTCGCCTTATGATCCCTGCGATCGCTACCAATGATGCCACTGATGCCAGTAATGCCAGTGCCATAAGAACTTCCAGTTCTTTCTCAAAACATTAATAACAATTCAGTAGAAAACCCGGTTATTCAGTGAGAGAGGGGAAAGGCTGGGCTACCGATTGTGCACAACCTGTCTATAAAAAATGTAATTTAATGTTATGTTATGTTTATGGTGTGGCATTAGAATCATCAATGAGAGAGAGAGAGAGAGAGAGAGAAGTTATGATAGGGAAGGGATGGATAATATATGTTGAGAGATATACCATCAAAAGGTAGAGGAGACCATCAAAAGATCAAACAGTAATCAACACATGAAAACACATGAAATTCCTGGCATTCAGTGGAATACTGTATTCGCGATCAATATTTTTGATAATAATAATAATAATGAAGAAAATTATTATAAAAATACATAACGAAGTGATGGCAAAGAAATTGTTGACTTCAACTGGTTTTCAACGTTAATACACTATTTTTGGTGTTTAAACTCATGATTGGCATCAGTTTAGAGAAAATATCAATTCTTATCATTATTACTGTATTTTCTCTCAATTCTGTGGATAAGAGTTTATAAATATAATAAAAAAAAGTAAATATACTTTTCTCTCAGTCATAAGTTTTTATGAGACAAATATATTTCTCATTCATATTTCAAATACCAAACGAAGTAAATAAAAATCCAACAAAAAACCAAAAAAGTTATAAAAATCTTCTAATATTACAGTAAACTAAACGATACAAAAAATATATGTGCACCTGAATTTTTCAGAAACTCATAGAGTGTTTAATATTCAAAATGAATACTAATTAAATTAAATTCCCATACAGTATATCATTGGAGAAATGGATGCATAATAAAATAAAATCAACAAAAAACGATGCTCATAAATTATTTAGACATTAAATATGACATAAATTATAAATTCACTTAATGTGTGAATCAGAAAAATAATAAAAGAAAATTTTGTGGTTTTTAAACTATATTTTGAGTCACATTTTGGTCTCAGATCTGGATTTAGGGGCTAAAGAGAAGGGAGAAAAAAGAAATAACAGAAACTTTTTTGAGTGCAACTCTCAAATATAGTTTAACAGCAAATCAAATGCACACCAAAACAGAGGAGACCACGAATGGGAAGATTTTTATTATTATTATAAATATATAACTTTAAGGCTTGTCGTTAAAAATATATAACATATTAGGAGAGAGAGAAAAATTGTTTCAAATAATAATCAAATAATCACTCGAAGCTATTATTGAATTCATAGCTTTATTACATACTGTGTATATAATATATTTCTCAATACATTGTACGGTAATAATAGCTGTAATGATAATAAAAATAATAATGAATAGTTTGGTATAGAAATAAAAAAGAGATACTTTTTGCTTATATTCTTCTGATCACAATTATTGTTGATTTTGCATAACTTATATCTAATCTTAAGCTACAAACTAAACTACAGTATAATAAATAGTAAGAAAAAATAATAATTCTTTCAGTAGTTGTGTTTCGGCAAAACGATTAAACAGTTTTTTCTCTTTAGGTTTTGTTTTTCATATTTTTCTGCTCGAGATTTTCCAGATAGTGTTCTCATATGTTATAAATACTATAGTGAACTAGAAGTTTGAGAATAACGAGAAGTTATTCATAACTTCTGATAAGACATTAATTATTTTTTATTAAAAAAAACTTTTTATTTATTTATTTATTATTCAAAGAAATCATTAAAAATAATTTTTTTTCTCAATTGGAAAAAACTTGCTAGAATATTTATCGAAACTTATACTTACTTTATATTAATATTCAATATTTCCTAAAACACACAACATTTTTTCCTGCAATTTTTTGTTTAATTTTATTTATTCAAAATATTTTTGTTTTGCGCTGAATATATGGTACGATATTTACTGTATATTTAATAAATTTCAATATATTTTAATAAATGAATTATTAAGTGATTATAAATACTAAACTACAGTATAATAAATAGTAAGAAAAAATAATAATTCTTTCAGTAGTTGTGTTTCGGCAAAACGATTAAACAGTTTTTTCTCTTTAGGTTTTGTTTTTCATATTTTTCTGCTCGAGATTTTGCAGATAGTGTTCTCATATGTTATAAATATTATAGTGAACTAGAAGTTTGAGAATAACGAGAAGTTATTCATAACTTCTGATAAGACATTAATTATTTTTTATTAAAAAAACTTTTTATTTATTTATTTATTATTCAAAGAAATCATTAAAAATAATTTTTTTCTCAATTGGAAAAACTTATAAGTGAATTGCTAGAATATTTATCGAAACTTATACTTACTTTATATTAATATTCAATATTTCCTAAAACACACAACATTTTTTCCTACAATTTTTTGTTTAATTTTATTTATTCAAAATATTTTTGTTTTGCGCTGAATATATGGTACGATATTTACTGTATATTTAATAAATTTCAATATATTTTAATAAATGAATTATTAAGTGATTATAAATTTTACTTAAAATCTAAGTGTTTTTATTCACATTCATTTGTATAATACAGTCTCAAAATGACATTTCCCTGGTTCCCGGTATAAGTTGTTTGCATCAAAAATAACTATTTTCTCATAAGTTATACCAAAATATTTCTTTTTTATAGTATACAAAACGGCTTAAAATATTTTATTTTATTTTTCAATCGGGAAAATCTTATTTTTCGCACCAAAAGCAGAAGTTTAATCAAAAGCTAATGTAATTTATAGTATATTTTGAGAGATGAATGAATGAGAGAGATGTTTGATTTGTTATTTGCAAAAAACAGTTCATTTATTATACTTTTTATACTTATTTCTCTCGTCAGTCCCTCTACTCGGCTATCGATGGAAATGTGATTTTTGTTGGGCTTTAAATTCATTAAAATATTTTTCACTTCACTTCTCGATTAATATAATTCCCTAAAACAAGAATTTGTGCGAAAAATATGTGATTTTCATTCATTGGCCTGGAATTCATTCATTCATTTATTGATCACAAAAACTAAAATAAAATATTTATAAATAAATGTGAATTGAATTTTTTCGAGGATTTAGTTAGTATAGTAGTACTCAAAAATCAACATGTTTAAAGTATTCGTTTACTTTATATGTAGCCCGAGTATGTAATTTGTTGTATGCTGTTCTAAACCAATTCACTATTTATCACACATACACAATATATTACCGGTTAGCGGGGTTTGTTGCAAACATTTTAATGTCATTTCCAATTCAAAATCAATAACAAAAATATTCAATTAAAATAAATGCACGAAATATTTGTATTTGAAAATATTGTTTTCTTGCATTTTTTATGCATACTGTATATTAAATTGTATGTAAACTATAAGTCAAACTATAAATTAGGAATTTTTCTCTCAAAAATCTATTTACGGGAAAACAATAACAAAAATACAAATCATTTTTCAAAGAGTTTATGAAAAAATTAGTTTAAACTTTAAACACTAAAAAATGCAATCATTTTTAACTTATTTTATGACATCTATTGATAGCACTGTATATAACACTTCATATGTTTATCAATATATCCAACATTTTTACGCTTTTCAGTTAAATTCATATAAATTACAAATTATTATTTGTTTCAAAATTCATTTATTATAATTTATAAATAAAAAATTAGAAAACTTTAATTTTGTTGAAGCAAGTGATGTAAGTGTACCTTGGTATACTGTACTGTAAGACAAACCATTTGCCAATGCTAGTTTCCAAGTTACTTATGCTAAATGTACTCAAATGTTATCAACTTAACTTATAACATTTAACTAAACATACTCGACTTATGATCAGGGTCATTTTTACTTACGAAATCAAAGTTCAAAGTTGGTTTTTGAAAATTATTGAAATTCATAATCAGTAAGCGATATTTATATCTACTGAGAGTGGTGTGTGACCTCAGGTGTTATTTCGTCAGTAAACACCTTTATACGCGAAGTTATGCTGGCGTTAATAGCACAAATAAGCGGTTCATTGCAGACCACATGCCATGACGTAAGCAATCGTATGGTTATTATTGTCGCCATTTTAGTGACCATTAAACGCGCATTGTTTTGCAAGTATTGCATCAGATCTGCACTTATTATCTCATTATCTCTATATTGAGACCACATTTACTCATCACTTCACACAAACTCCGCGACTAAACAACTAAACAGTAAGTATGACATCCATTACCATCACGAGTATCACTCAAATCCAGTGCTAACTCATTGTCTCATCGATTGTCTGACGAGGAAGTAATGGCACGAAGAGGTCGTTCTCCGTCTCCCTCCCGGCGCTCAAGTCCGCCCCCAATGCGGGCCAGTCCTCGAGCCAGTCCACCACCACAGCAATCGAGAGCACCGGCACCCGTACCACAACAGCCCACTGCGATGGCGGCACCGATGGCCGCACCGCAAGGACCCGGTCTTATGGCGCAGATGGCGGCCACCGCTGGCGGCGTAGCCATTGGATCAGCTGTTGGCCACACCATCGGACACGCGATGACCGGTGCGTTCAGCGGCGGCTCTGACAATGAGGCCCAACAGCAACAACAGGCGCCTCCACCTTGAATATCATCTCAAGAACTATGCATTTATCTGTCCGTCCGGTAATGTATGTGTTGTATTGTGTTTGTTGGGAGCCATCAAAACAACCATAATATATAATAATACTAATAATAATGGTGTTCATTGTGGCAGTATATGAACGGCTACTTTACTTGATTTTTACTTTTTAAATGTATATGAAGCAAGAAACCTGTTTTAAAATTCAAAGATTGATACCAAAAGTCATCTCAAGTTTTTATTTTGTTCAAAGAATCAAAAATAAAGTCTGACTTCTGTTTTGATGAGAGCACCGGTTGGAAAGGCATTGCATCTCTAATTGACAATTAAAACTAGAGATACGAATAAAAAACATAAAAAGGAATTCCTATGTAAACAGTATCTGAATCTTTGTTTCCACTCATTATAATGTGAAACGTCTGTCCCCTACCTACCCATCACTGTCTCTCCGGAGAACATACTGTAGTAAATGCACCGGTATTTTACTTATTTGACTGAATGTCAAAAGCAAACCTCAATTAAAAACAAAGTCAAAGTCACAATCAATACAATTATTGGCATTTTTTGAAATTTATTTTTAGTGAAGAAATTCTTTAGAGTAGAAGAGATGTGAATCCGATATAAAAGTATAGATTGTTTTGGTAGCGGAGGTAGTGCTGGAGGGAATGGGTCGCCAATTCCAGTGCAGACTAACCACAGCTAAGCGCTGGGATGCGGTCTTCAGTCTTCGGGTTCTCATCTATTCTTCATTATATTATCCATTATTTATCAGTTCAAT